CACACCTTGGCGTGGATGTTGCTGCTTGGTAGCTCAGGTGAGTGAGATGCGTTTCATTCTGTGCAGAAATGGGGTTGCTGCAAAGCCAAAAGTTTCCTCGGGCATTGGAAGAAACTGTCTCTATAGGAGCAACTTCATCTCCCGCCTGTTCAAGGGGGTCAAAGAGTTTTATTCAGATGCATTAGTAGATGTTAGCAGATGCTGCTCCTCTTCCTTTTTATCAGTAGTTCGTTTCATTTCTTTTAACTAGTCTGCATCTCTCGAGCAGGTGTTGGCATGAACAGAATTCGGATCCATGTTTTGCCGTCAAGCCGAGGACGCCTTACTCCTGTGCCGCGGCCGCAGGAGCCTCTGTCATGTGCCTTCACTCACCGCCAGTGCTCCCAGCCGCGGCTGGAGGGGCAGGAGTTTTGTATTAAGCACATTCTTGAAGACAGGAGTGCCCCTTTCAAGCAGTGCAGCTACGTTTCAACAAAGAATGGAAAGCGGTGTCCCAACGCTGCACCCAAACCAGAGAAGAAGGATGGGTGAGTAACTCTTTCTCCTGGTTCTCCATCATACAGAATTAAAACGGGCAGGAGAAGGTCCTCCTGATTCAGCTGCTGCAGTTACGTTACCTCAGACAAGTGGCTCCCTCTTTCTGAAGCGTTTTTAAGCTAGAAAGAGACTTGTGAGTGCTGGGCACTGCGTGGAGTCGTCTTGGTCCTGCAGGACTGTCGGGCTGCTGCCCTCTGCCATCAGAAGGTGGCTGCAGTGATCTGGGTCGTTTGTAAGAGCTGTATGTGCACCCACGCGGTGCCGTACCTCCGCTCAGCCCAGCAGATTTAACTTGCCACTGTCTGTGCTTACGGATAATCCTCAGCACATACACTCTGGTCGTGTGTTATGTGGAGTTGATGACCTGGTTGTGCTTCTTGTTCTCTGATGCATATAAAATGTTCTGAGTGCTATGAATGGAAGGACCTAGAACAGTTCTCGACACTCAGTAAGCACGACAGCAGAGCACAGTTTCCCTTACGGGAGCATCGATCCGTGTTTCATTCTCAGAGGTTACGGAGATGTGGATGCTGATAGCCTTCATTCTGCCCTTGGTCTCTCTGCGATAAAAAGGATCCATCCCATGTGGGCCAGCGTGCTCTGTGTGGAAACTGAGAGTCCAGTGTGAATGTTTGGAAGCAGAAGAGCTCACCTCAGTGGCTTTAAGTAAAAAGCTCTTTTCTCTCGCTGCTGCTGTGCCATGTGGCTGCCGGCTCTGGTGCCAGAGGTGGCATCTCAGCGGTGGTGTGTGGTCTGCGAGCCACCCAGGGCTCTCTGGCATTTCCAAGCTGTACCTGCAGCCAGCGGCTCTCTCTGTGAGAGAGCTGTGGAGGGGATGTGCTTTCCAGGTGCCAGGGAACGTTTCTCACTGTATCGCTTGTTCGTTTTGCTGGCTGAGGGCTTGGAGTTGTAACAAGCTTGTGATTTATTCCCACAGCACGTCGTTCTGCGCGGAGCATGCCCGTAGGAACACTCTGGCGCTCCAAGCTCAGATGAAGAAGTCCAATCCTGGGCCTGTAAGCGAGACTCTGCTTTGCCAGCTTAGCTCTTATGCCAAAACAGAGCTGGGCTCCCAGACCGCAGAGAGCAGCCGCAGCGAAGCCAGTCGGATCCTAGGTAAGAACTGAAAGTGAAAACCGGTGAGAGAGGACCTGGAGTTCTCCGTTCTGTGTGGAAATGCCAAGAATATCACTTCTTAAATCCAGTGAAAAAAAGATCCCAGGGGTCTGTGGGTAAAAGATTGTGTTCTGCAAAGCCTGGTGTGTCTCGCCTGCCACTGACTGGAGACGACTCACACCGCCAGACCAAAATCCTGCAGGTTTTCTTCCCTTGCAGTCACAGAGTAGAAATGTTAGCTAGCTTCCCTCTTTGCTGGCTTAGTCTCTAGCGCTGCCTGTCAAACGCTGGCTCCGTGCTGAGCTTCTCATCTCGCGGGGTTGCTTGGTGGGGCCAGCCGGCAGTTCGTGGTTCCTAGGTAGGCAGGAGCGCCACTCCACAGGAGCTGTGTGTTTTGGCTGCGCCGAGTTGTTGGGTTTCCTGTTGTTCCATGTCGCTTGCTCACACTGTGCTGGGGAGGAGAAGTCTCTCCTGGCAAGAGACAGAGTTGGTTCACCTCCGTGCGGCCGTGGAGCTGAGCTCCCGGGGTCCCCGGCTGCCCTGTGCCAGAGCGGCGAGCGCTGGGACGTAGGGCAGTGTCCTATCGCTCAGGATATCGTCTTTTCAGATGAGGACAGCTGGAGCGATGGCGAGCAGGACCCTATCACAGTGGACCAGACGTGGCGAGGGGACCCGGACAGCGAGGCTGACAGCATCGATAGCGACCAGGAGGATCCCTTGAAGTAAGTTGGATGCTGGTGGCTGCAGGCTGCTTACACACGTGTAGCGCGTTCTGAGCTCAGTGTGGTACCAGAGGAGGTGGCGGTTATGTTAAAGAGGTGACGTTATTAATGGTGTTGCAGTTGGACTTTGGTCCTTGGTGAGTTGCTAGGTGTGAATGCTTGTAAGTCTTGGACCTGGTGGTTCTTCTGGTCATCCTCTTTCAGTGTGGAGCGGTCCGTTCAGCAGCAGTCTCTGGGTGATCTCTTAAATTAAAAATAAATCTGTAAAAATCAGTATTTCTGCTCGTCGCCCGTTGATCTGTCTAACCCAGCCCTGCTCAGCCCGTGTTTCTGATAACGTCCGTGCCATTCGGCCAGGAGAACAGCCCCGAGGGACCCGTAGAACTTCACCCTGTTTGTGGGGGTGTTTTTCAGGCATGCTGGCGTATACACAGCTGAGGAGGTGGCTTTGATCATGCGAGAGAAGCTGATCCGCCTGCAGTCTCTCTACATTGACCAGTTCAAACGACTCCAGCACCTTCTGAAGGAGAAGAAGCGCCGATACCTGCACAGCCGCAAGGGAGAACATGAAGCCATAGGCAAGTACTGGTACAGGTAGTCACTGATCTGTATTCGTCTGGCTGAGGGCACAGCGCTTCTCTAAAACACATGCAGAACTCTACATTTTAAAAAAATGGGGGTTTTTTGCCCTTTGTAGAAGCAGATTTCAGAGCAGTGCTGTCTCGGTAAGGGTGAGAATTACCGTAGGACTGAAAGTCGGTTAGAGAAGGTATTTTTGTGGCTGGGGCGCTGCCTGGGGAGGTGGATGGGAGATTGGTATCGTTTGGGTTAGAAAGGTTACCGGATTTCTTTGCTCTTCAAAGTTTGCAGTGTTGTCAGGAAATGAGACTACAAAGTTTAATTCTGAGGCAAAAGTTCTGTTCTTGTCTTTTTTTTTTTTTTAATGGGATTTCCTGTTTTTGGTTTCATAAACAAAAAAATTTATTCATCTGTAAGGTCCTGTCTGTATCGGCAGAAGTTTGTTTCAGTTGTTACAGCAGTACTGCTGTAATGACGTACTCCTCCTTAGCAGAGATGCACCTTTGCCTTGCAAAAGCACTTCTGCCTCGGTTGGGATTTCCCCCTGTACAGAACGTGCTCTTGGAGGCAGGAGTTCGTAGTTCAGCAGAGGCAGAGCTGGGTTGTAGATAGCTGGTTGCAAGTATGGCAGTGCAAAGAATGCTTTCTCTAGCGTGGTCTTATAATAGCTCATCCTGGAAAATGGCACAATACGGCTCGGTCTCAAATAAAAATAACTGGAAGTTTGGTACATAACAATTTTGTAGAACTCTTTTTAGCAAACCAGTAATAGAAAAGCAGATCCTGAGCGTTGCCCTGTAATTACAGCTGGGAGTGCTTACTGGAAGCTTCCAGAACTTGCACAGGAGCAAGCTGAAATTTGACAAACTGCTATTCTGCCTGCAGAAATCACAATAGACTTTTGAGTGGCCAAATTATTTTAAAAGATGCTTAAAAATATTCAGTGGGCTCCTCGTGTGCACAGAGCAGTTGGGATGAGTTTTGGGATGGAGCCTGCTTTGTCATCCTCTTGCGTAACTGGAAGATGTGCTTCCTGTTTATACGAGCGACTCTCACTGCTCCTTCGCTCCGTGCGGTGACATCTGTGTCGTCAGTCAGCTGTTGGAGCTCTCGACGGCTGACTCGGGCTCTCGATACCAAAAAAAAAAATGGAAGGTTGTGGCAGGTGGGGTGGTATTTTCTGACCCCTCCCTCGCTCCTGGCAGGCAGCAGCCTTCTGACGGGCCCGGAGGGGCTGATGGCCAAGGAACGTGAGAACCTGAAGCGCCTGAAGTGCCTGCGCCGCTACCGGCAGCGCTACGGCGTGGAGGCCCTGCTCCACCGGCAGCTGAAGGAGCGCAGGATGCTGGCGACCGATGGCGCTGCCCAGCAGGTGTGTCCAGCGGCTCGGGGACTGGGTACGGCTGGAGTTACAGCCTCGCTTGGAAGCTGGGTCTTTCTTCTCGTCCCTTCCTGGGAGCGATCCCGGGCCAGGTCCGCTCTGGCCCTGCCGGAGTGCCCCTTGTAACATGCCCTTTCTGCAAGGACATAAAGAATCTGGTCCTGGCCAGCACCCTCAGTATCCACACGTTGGCCGAAACATCGGGGCTTCCTGGAATCATTTTAAATGGGCACCAGAACTGCAAAAGTTAAAGTGTGGGGTTGGAGAATTTTCCCTTTTGAAAGCGAGGGCTCAGTACAAGGTAGCCTGATTTTCATCATTGAAAAATGTGTGGGAAATACTTCCTATAGTGGTGAAACCCAGACTCCTCCTAGACCTGTGGGGACCGAAGGGCAGGCCCCTTGCATCACACATGAAACTAAATTTGAAGCTGTGTGCAGCCATTTCTTTGTAACCATTTTAAAATGCAAAGCGTTCCCTTAACTGGCTGCTGAAATTTGAAAGATAAGTCTGAGAAACCTCGTTCTTTGAGACATACTTCTGAGGTGAAGTTCTTCCTACTGAAATCGAGTCGTGCCTCAGTGTCTCAGCTCTGTTTAATAAAAGCTTGAATGGGAAGGACATAATGAGGAGCGAGGCTCTGCTGGAGTGGAACTGAGAGTTTGGTCTTGGCGTGTTTTGAAAGCAGGACGCAAGTGTTGTATAGCCGAGGGGGTTTCTCTGGAAAAGAGCCGGACGACTCTCCAGCGCAGCTCTGAGCTCTTCTCTTGGACTTGCAGGCGCACACCACCCGCTCCAGCCAGAGGTGCTTGGCCTTTGTCGACGACGTCCGATGCACCAACCAGTCCCTTCCGATGACCAGGCACTGCCTTACGCGTATCCTTTGATCTGCCTGTGCTGCCTTGGGCTGCGCTCCGGACTGTTTGCTGGCAGTTTGAAGTGCGTTTGATCCTCCTTTTTTCTCTTTGGCCCTAAATCAAGGCCGTCGGTTTGCTGTAGCCGTTGGTTTCAAGCAGGAGCCCAGAGGAAACGTCTCCCGGTCTGTTGGCGCTCCCGTCCCCATGGAACGACCAATTCGTGTGGGAGCGACAAAAAGCTGGGCTTGCCCTCGCCTCTGCCCGGGCAGGTCCCGCTGCAGCCTTCCTGTGGTACGCTGGCCGACCCAGAGCATCCGAACGGGGTGGCTAGTTCACTTGGAAGTGACAAGGGAACCTCATGAAGCCCGAGGGAGGCTCGAGATAGTTTCTGGCTATGTGAAAGGGGGATAGAAGCAAGTCTGCTCTTGGCTGCAGGTGCTGGATGCCAACAGTCATCCTGAGCAGGGTCTGTGAGCTCTCGGTATGAGTCCTGCTGTGAGGGATGTTTGTAGAAAAGGGTGTCTGACTGCTGAAGCATGTGCTCAGTGATTTTTGGGAGGATCTGAATGAGGGAGTAGTTCCTAGCCTGTTTGGGGCTGCCGTGGGTCAGATCAATCTCCTTTTACTCCTTGAAAGGTTGGCACACGTGTGTGTGAACAGCCTCGAGCTCTTCGACCTCCTGAAACAGCCTCGGCTTTTTGAGGGCTAGCACTGAAATTTCCACTGGGATCCCCCCAGCTCAGGGATCACCGCCCCAACATGGGATCCACGAACCGAGCGTAGCCCCTGTGCAGCTCTTGTCTAAATGGGATTGGGTGGATGTGTCCAGGAGCGGGTTTGGATCGTGCCGGAGCTGCATTAGCAGCTGTTGCTGGTGTGAGTCAGGAGAAGCTCCGGTGCTGGGTCCCAGAGCAGAGCTGGCAGCCGGGGGGAGGAGGAGCTCGTCGTTTTGTGTGAGCTCTTCGTTCTGTTTTGTTACTGAAGTTGGCAGACTCGACTCCAGGTATGTGCAGGGAGCAGCCCGGGTAGCGGGAAGCTGCCTTGGTTTCTTTCCAGTGACCATATGCTTCAAAATAAAGACAGGATAAATACCTATAAAACGGTTTGAGCACGTTGCTGTTTGCAGCTGACTCGCTTTGAGCAGGGCAGGCTGAGAAGGGAGTGGAAAAAGCGAGGTTTGATTTCCTTACGTCTGAGCTGTCAGCTGACTTTCACTGACACAAACAAGATTTTACTTTGGTTAGCCCTGCTGAGCCGATAACATCTGCAGTTTGCTCTGCTTTGTGCATTGTCGGGAGGCTCTTGGGCTTTGTTTGCTTTTCAGGAGCTGGATTGTTTGTGACAATGCATTAAAGGGACCGAACCCAGCTGGGCTGTTGGGCTCCAGGTGGAGCATGTGATTTGGTCATCTTGGCAACCCATGCTTTTTGGCTACCAGTAAAGTCAGTGCTTGATCTGGGAGTCATTCAGAGAGATTAAAATCTGGCTTCCCCACCCTGCTGTTCATACAGAGGCGCTTTCCTCACCGCATCTGCCCTCGAGTGTCTGAGAGATCTGGCTCCTCTGGGCTGAGCTCCTCTGGGCTGAGCTCCGTACTGTTGCTGCTAGCACAGATTACGGGCTCCCCACAGCCTGCCGGGAAGTCGTATCGGCACGTTCACAGCTGCCTTGGTGCAGGGAGGAGAGGAGGAAAGGATAAACCTGAAACCTAGGCAGCTTAAGAAACTGGGTTAAACTTGGCGCCTTTTGCCTGGTTATGTGGGTTTGGAAGTTTGGGGTTTTTTTTTTCCTCTCCCACACTGCACTGTGTGAAGAGGAAACTGTGGCATGAACCCACAAACGTCGAGAACAGCTGGGCAGTTGTTCGGGTGGGTTTGATATTGAGGTATCTGGCCTGAGAGACTTGATCGACACCTGAGATCTGCTTTGGCCCCAGCTCCAGATTGTCACCTGCGTGGAGGTTGTGCCTCACTCTGCTCACTGGGTGACACAATCTCAGCTGTTCCTTGCAGCAGTAAGTAGAAACTTCACGACTGTCAGTAAAATGTTGTTTATGCAGACCCTGGTGCAGCCTCAGCGGTGGGTCCGTCTGTAGTTTCGCAGGGCTCTTGGAAGAGGATGGGATTTGGTCTGTAGCTACTCTCTGCTGGTGGATTGCTCTGCAAGCGCGATGCAATTGGAGCAGAGTTTCTGTTTGTGATTAAAGGCAGGAAATCCCATTTACACCTCTGGCAGGAATAGGTTTTCCATTGGGAAGGAAAATGCACTGGGAAGATAGAAATACCGGAACTAAACTCCTGGCTGTGGAAAAAGCATTGTGTGTGCTCGTATCTCCGCTGCGTGTTAGATGTTAAGGCCTGTGCAGATGCCTTTTAAATGGATGTCTGCAACTAAAAGTAAGCCTGTAAGCAAGATATTTGTAATATCTTCCATCTGAGGATCTGTGAGTGCTTTACAGGGATCCAGCTCCGTTATCCAGCCCCCACTGGGAGGCTGTCGCTGTTGTCCCCGTTTGCCATCATGCAAGTAACGTCATCCACACTGCCGGGCAGTCGAGGTGCAACTCTGGAGTCTGGACTCCTGACCTCGGAGAAATGTATGGGGTTTTTAACAGCGTTTGCTGGAGGGTGGTGGGTGAGGGGGGAGCATTTATGCCTCTGGATGCGTGTCCGTCTGTAGCTTGTCTGCTGTGCAGGTTTTCCCTTGACCACACCTTCCCAGACATCTGTCAGGACACTAATCAGACTCTGTTTAAACCGTGTCAAGGCTCCGAGGAAGTGCCCTGCAACAAGCCAGTTCCCGTGAGCCTCTCCGAGGATCCGTGCTGCCCGCTCCATCTCCGGTTGCCTCCGCAGATGTACGTACCCGAGCAGGTGCTGGCTGTCCCTGAGGAGCTGGAAGCTGCCCCCACGGACCTGTACTTGAGCGCTGCTGAGCTCCAGCCCACAGAGAGCTTGCCCCTGGAGTTCAGCGATGTAAGTTGTGCAGTGTGCTTTAGGCCGTGGCGTGCAAGCAACGTGTCCTGCAGAAAAGCTTCCCCTGAATATTGCTGGTTTCGTTACATGCCATGAAGTCACACTGAAATACTCGTGGAGCGGGCTGCGGTGCGGCAGACCCAGTGCTCTCTGTGGAGCACGCATGGATGTCATGTAAAGCACTGCCTCCCCAGCACAGATAATATAGAATTATTTTTATTCTTGCTGGCTTGGGGAAGGAGAGTCTCTT